TTCATAGCGCTCTTCGCTGCAGCGATGGAACGCTGTAATTTCAGCATTATGTAGGGGACATAGGAACGTATGAGGTGGTCAGAAAGTGATAGGGACTGAAAAGAGCTGATAAGAGGCGCTGAAAAGGCAAATTTCACGATATTATACGTCCCGGCAGCAGTGGAGTGTTGGTTCCAACAAGTTGTGTGGAGGGTAGGACGGGAACATGTTTTGTGGGGGCCTATTATGATAGCAGCCGATAATAGGGAGTAAGGAGTGCCGATAGGGCACCTGTCACCAAATGAGTATCGCGTGTCACAGAAGCAATGACGCGTTTAATTCGTCAAGTGCGGCGGAGTGCGGGACGGGAACACATTTGGTGGTGAGCCGAGAATGATAATAGTTGATAAAAGCTCATGAACGATGTAGACAAGGACAATTGGTCGCTTCAGACCTAATACCAGATAAGAATCACTTATTTCATTTGCGTTCCATCGTCAGCACCATACTCCCTTCGACCGCTACTTTGCCTAAATTTCCTGCGAATGTGTGTAGAGGCTGTGTGATGAAATGCGATGATGAACGATGGACATTTCTGTCCCAACATCATTAGCCACTTCACTTCTGCAAGCAGGGTTAACCGTCACGTTGGACCGATTTCAAAATTTTTACGACCCCCCTTCTTGGAGAGTCTCCATACGACCCCCCCCCCGCACTCATTATGTACTGTACACTGCTAAGGAAAAGCTAACACTAGGGGAAATAAGTGCAATCTACAAAATCTCTAAAGACACTTGGCTTGAATTCAAACACAGTTAGCAGACGAGCTCTAGTTTCCTGATATCCGGTAATCTACTAGTGCATAACAGAAAACGAACAAAAAAAACAACAAACAAACAAGCTGCCTCATTAGTTGCTAACAGTACTGCCCTTTAGTTCGAATGGCGCTTTGCCTGCCTTTCATGAATGGGCGTTCAGAATCACAAAAATTTCCATTTCGATATGCAAGCGCATATCAAACGAGTGCATGGCGCATCTCAGAGCATGAGAGTATACAGCAGAAGTGTCCGATTGGAGCACGGGAGCGTTGCGTTCGCATTGGCGCGCGCAATCTTCCCCTCGGCGCAGCGCGGGCAGCGAGAAACAGACTATTGACTTTCAAATAAGCGTAAATTTTGTTCAATATCAATATTTCTTCAAATGCTAAGTAGATTTGTCATCTACAAAACTGCTTGTTTCAGAAGGTAACCACGATTATGCCTCATCTTCAAAACTACGTCAGTTATGGGGTAGAGAACAAAGAATTCACAGAAATGCGCACTTCGTCCATTTGAAAGGTTGTAACTTTCTTCAAAGAAGGAATTATGGGGAGAGACATTTTAAGAAAATTGAAAAGCTCAGACTGTTTTCTTTCTTAAAAGTGCTCAAGGTTTCACAAAAACTCTTTCCATCGCACCGGAGAATCGCATACCGATTTTTTTGCAGAGCGCTGGTTTTTTGGCTTTAAATTGTTATAACTTTCTTCATATTGAACTTTTTGCAGTTCTCCACCCTGTATTGAAGTAGAAGGTTGGAGCTTTACAACGAATACTTTTTCTCTTTCCAAAGTTGAAAGGAGTCAAAAAATCGCCCCGTTGGTTCGTTTTTTTAATGAATTTGTTGCGCTACTCTCCTGAAAACACGGAAAGACTGCAACTCTCTTCAAACCTAATTTTATTGGGAATTATGATTCAGTGACATCGCACGAGCTCTGTGCTTCATTACAGATGCTAAACCATATTCATAGGAACGTTTGCCGACAGGCAAACTTTGAAGTGCTTCTTCAACTAGTGCACTCAGTGCACTAGTTGAAGAAGCACTTCAAAGTTTTACCTCTCCCCTACTGTCGCGAGAACTAACGTCTTGATTCTAATCGTTCGATGGTCCCAGCAAAAAGCCAACAGCTGCGACCATCATAACGCGCATTAGGTTCCTTATAGTGTGAGTCGGGCTTAGCCGAGAAACCATTAGATAGAGCCTTTACCGTAGGCCGAGAAATGCTCCGATGACACGAGCTGATTGCAGGAGGCGGAGGCGACGACGACGGCGGAACGGGGATTCGAGCAGCGAGGACGACGGGAGTGACGGCGGCGGACTTCGGCGATGGAAGACTGTATTCACTGACTGGCCTTCCCCTCAAGACCTCGGGTCGGAAGAGGCCCGCGCGACTCCACTGGCATCACGCGACATCTGCCATATTCTGCTGTTCTGTCTCGTGTTCTCCAGGATAAATGTATTAGTGCAACTAGCGTTAGCTCTGTATTCTAAGGGGTGAAATACCCAGAACATCACTGGTAGCAGCGCGTCCGATTGCACTTGGTGGAGGTCAGGTCAGTTGAGACAGTTTTCCGTTTTCCGTGCTCATCGTTTGATGATAGTCTCTCCTCCTCTGATGCAACCCTAATCGTTTTTTTTGGTTTCTTGCCTCGTTTGGTGGGCGCCGAGCAGCCCTTCTGGGCAGCTTGTCAGACAGCGTTTCACGCATATGACTTTTCGTTCTCCTTCTCATGTTTTTTTGTCATTTATCAAGCCCCCTTGAACTCCAGAGTCTTACTTCTTTCCACACATCTCGCCTCGTTTTCTTTTTGTAAGAACGCTTCCCAACCCGGGGGGATAGCATTCGGTAAATTGGGCTTGAGGCGTTTTCAACTCACTATCTGTTAGGCGTTTTTTCCACCGCCCCCCCCCCCCTGCCATCCTGCTCGATTGCGAAACAGCACTTCTCTTCTCTCTTCTTTGCACACGTTTCTCACTCTGCTATAACTTCTAGTCCCGTGACCTTATGGTCAGCTATTTAACACCATAGCAGGACCTGCACTTTACCTATTTTCTTTTCTTTGTCTCACTTTTCGAGTTTTCTTAGAATAGTCGCGACATAGTAGCCGCTTCCGTACCAGAATTCGGATGCGAGGGTTTCGTTGGCCACGGTTGATATGTGATGTGATTTAAGCTGCAGCTAGAAAGTACTGAAGTGAAACATGCATGCATAGGGACGTTTTCCCAGTAGCTCCAAGCAGGCTTTCGAAAGTTGATTTAAGCTACAGTACGGAGTTTTCTTTTTGTTTGTTCGTCAGGAGCACACCATAACCCCTTCCAAAGTCTATTCTGAGAGCCCTAGTGACTTCCGGATTTTGATATAGGTCGTTTTTCTTATCTCACTATCCTCTCAACACTCTTTTCATGCTTCTTTTATGCCGTTCCTAGCCTAGTCACCGTCTCCAGCTTCTTGCCATTCTTCTTCAGCCGCCTAGCGTTAGTCATATCTCTTCACGCCATCTTATTCGCGGCTTTTAGCTTCGTCTCGACGCTTCGTCCTCGATGCACTCAAGCAGCCGTGTTGACCTTTTCATTCTCATGATGTTTACATCTCGTCGATGGCAACCGGCCATTTGAAATGCTGCACGGCTCAAACAGTTAAGCGGGGGACCGCTGGTCTCCTTGGGGAGGGGGGGCGCTCTTCCATCCAGCGGCAGTCGGTGGGGACGTGCGGGTTACGCCATGACCTCTGGTTCCCGCGTTCTTCGGCTATTCTCTCGCCGCTATGGCGGTCAACCCCAGCGCTTTGGACTCGCATCGGACGTTTTTTTTTCTCCTTTATCCACCGTGTTTGAGTCGGGCCTTATCCACCTACGAAACTTTTTTTTCCCTGCTTTTTGCCTCTGCTATGCGGCACCCACGCTGTAGAAATGCTATTACATTCTTCAAAAGCATTCCTTCCATAACTTCTTGGTACCGCCTTTGGTCCGTCGCATAAAAAGGGTCGCTTCCCCCCTTCCAATCTATTAGGTCATCTCATTCAAACATGTCCAGACATCTAGAGAAATGGTGGGAAAAGTAAAAGAGCTAGAGCATTCTGCTTGCTTTTGTTTTGAAGCTAGCACACCTAGCTACGGTATACCCCAATTAAGTTTGTAGTGCCGCAGAAGGAAACACTTAAAAACATAAGAAAACTCATAGTGACCAAAATCGAGGCGGAATTTTCAAATGATTGGTGACATACGTAAAATTCGCAACTCGAATTCTCTGTGTGCTGGCTCAGCTTACGCGTGATACAGTGTTCTCGAAGTGCTACGTTGAAGATATGGTGTGAGAGCTCAAAGAAGGAAGAACGGATGCGAGTTGTGGTTGAGGACGCGCTCACATTGCCCACCTTGCCGAAGAAGAGCGGGTGGATGAAATGAGGTTTCAAATGGCGCATCACAGATGTTGAACCTTTGCGATGTTTGCCCACGAGACTTGCAGTCTAGCTGCAGCTGTTACGCGAAATTGTGCCCAAAAATTGGGGATGGTCCACAGAACATGTTTTTGGATATCCATTTACTCCCAGATGCAGAGTCCAGAATCGAATTGGTGTCTGTAGCAATGATTTCTCTGCCAATAACGGCATTTAAGAGTATCAAACTGGACCCTGCTCATAAACGAAATTTGTGTGGAATTGTACGCTGAGGCCCAAGTCAGAAGTGTCAACTTTGGATTAACGCGAATGAGGAACTGCCCGAATTGGATCACGAGAAGTCACGTGGGTTCACGTGGATGATTATTATGGCGATGGATTTCTGAGATGTGCCTCTTAAATGGCTCTGTCGGGAAAAAACCTCCGGCGTTTCTCAAGTGTATGGCTTGTTTCTTAGCGATCAAATTGACAAAGGAATAGCAGTACAAAACTACAATAACGATATCATCACCTATGTCGATGCCAGACCCCACATAGCTCATATTGCTCACGGGTATTTCGACCAAACGGATATTGTGACCTCTTCTTATCAGCCGTATTTTCCCAACTGCAGCCGTGCGACCTCAGCTGTTTTATCGAACTGAACGCCCTACTCGTTGGAAGCGCTACGACAATTCGTTGATCATCTATACTGACATCAAAAGCATCTTGTCTATACTTGTTGAAATGAAGAAGCTGCGCGGTGTCCAGTGTTTTCTAGACGCTGGGATCGGGTCGTTAACAACGACAAGATCTGCTTGACTTCACACCAAAGTATTAGCTTTTTATCTTTCCTGCTGTTCATTTTATTCGAATAAAACCGTGGACATGTTTGAATGAGATGACCTAATATCTTTCTGCTTTGCTATTCGGTCCTGCTTTATGCCAGTCACTCGCAGTCAAGCCAGGTTGGGACCCATCCCCCTGAAGGGGCTTCTGTCCAGCATTCTGACACAAAGCCGGACCCTTCGGCTACGGTCAAGGAAACACCACTCTCCATCTTCGACGACTACGCCGATGATGCCCCGCTCCTCGGACGAGACGCCAAGGCCTTGCGCGATGCAACTACATCTGCCATTGAGCAGGTCTGGAGTGACACCTGCGCAACTACAGCGCTGCTGACTAGCAAAATCAACGAAAGCAACGCGTCCCTCCAGGATAAGCTCAGGGAATCTTTCGCCGCAGTGGGGAAGCGCTTGGACAACTTACCTACGATTGCGATGCTCCACTCAGAACCGCCGGTGCCCAGGGTTACCCCGTTTTCGGGCGTCATTGAGAATGGGATGCAATTCTCCATCTGGTTACGTCGCCTGGAGGATATTATGCGCATGCGACCAGCCCCTTTGTCGGATGAACAGCGCGCTAATTTCCTTATCGGACACCTTGACGGCGTAGCCCGGGAGAAAGTGGAGGAATTGGAGGAACCTGCGAAGCGGAACTACGCGTCGATAGTCGCACACTTGCTTTCCTTTTTTGAAAGCCCACACCAGCGTTATGTGGCACGTCAGCAACTGGCAGCATGTCATCAAGAGCCTGGGGAGTCTTCCACATCGTTCGCGAACCGTGTGCTGAATCTTGTCCGGGCCGCCACGTCTGGTCAAGATCCGGCTACGCAAAAAGACCGAGTCCTCGAAGAGTTTGTGTCACGACTCCGAAGCGATATCCGATACTTTGTCAAGCTCGAGGGACCTAGTACTTTCGAGCAGGCAGTCAATAAGGCTCAGACAGTCGAACAGCTCCTCAGCGAGGCGACGGCGGAACGCCTGCTCCATCCCACATCAACCCCTACCCCCGTTCCGGTAGTTAACCGTCTTTCGCTGGGACGTGGCTCGTCTCATGTGCCAAACTCTTTGCGTCCCCCCGTCCGCTCTCGCGCCGGGGCGCCGGCGCAAACCGCCGCACGGCGGTACAGTCCAGGTCATCTCCTCGTCCACCAGAATTTCGCTGTTATAATTTTAGCGGGTTTAGGCCACTTCTCCACGGCTTGTCCCTCTCCCAGACGCCAACCTTCCTCGGCACCACGCGCGCAGCCGCGCGGGGGTTTTCCGTCCTCCAAACATGGATTTTCCCCCCGAGCGAACGTGCTTTCACCAACAACTGCCGACTATGCGACCCCGGCGCCCGCACCTGATTCAGCCGTAGACATCGCCACCCTCTCGGCATCTCTTAGAGAGTCCCAAGCCCAATTGCAGCAATCGCAAGCCCGCATTTCCGCGCTCCTACGCCGCAACGATGAACTGACGAGCGCGTCTCTCGACCAGGTGCACTCATCGGCTCCTCCGCACTCATCCTCCACTATCCCGGACGTCCGTCTACTCTTTTGCATGGTGCTTTCTTTGGTGGCTTTTGTTTCCCCCGGTACTGCACTCGATGCTTGGCTATGCCCTTCGGACAATCAAGCAACATTCTTCTTTGTGCCGGACTACCAAAATTGTTCCGGTCTGTTACCGGCGGTTGGCGCGCCCCTCGAGCAAGTTACTCTCCATGTCTACCGGCCTAACACGCAATTGTATAGTTCACCGGCATTCTTCTGTAAGATCATTCGTCATTCAGGTCACATACTCGGTGTCTTTCTTCGGCATGCATCACGAAATCCACAATGAGGCCCCGCTCGCGGTTTCGGCCGAGGAATGCCGGCAGATGGCCCTTCATCACCGTTGCTCCCACGGCGATATGACTGAGTCTGGAGGATTGTGGCGTACGCAGAATTTCTTGACCTTCGACTTCCCGTCCGCACCCTTCGGGTGCTGCGCAGACCACACTGCCCAGGTCACTAACTGCTATTTCTATAACACAACAGTTAACACTCCGACAAATCTCCCCAGTCCCCTGTGGGCGACATGGTCGCTTGCTCGTACACGGATGGCACGTGCACTCTCTCAGATGGTTCGGTTTTGGTCTGGACGCCCGATCGTGGAGAAGAATGCTCGTATACTTTAGTTGCGCGAATGCCGGGCCATACTATGGGCGCTATCTGGATGAGCGACAATAAGGAGTTTGCACTGTCGTGGACCGATCAATCCCCTAGGGTGACGGACTGTCTTAAGCAACTCATACTCACGGATCAAGGCTACGCTATTAAAGTCTCTTCGCGCAGTACACGCGATGTATCGAGTACCGTCGGCCTCGTGACATCTAATCAGTTGTCGGCTCAACTTCTAGCAGTAGAGGGAGCCACGTACTCGTCAGTGAGCGTCCTTTTCCGCAATGCGTTGCGCACTCTCTGCGACCGTACCAACGTAATGTCGGTTTCTCTTCACGCCGCTTTAGCGACCCACCCAACACCCACCATGCGCGCTCTGCTGAATCGCCAAGATATTTCCGCCTCTCATTTGGGTGGCGGGTACGTCGAGGTTCGCCGACGCATAGCTTTACCACCATCTTCTCTGCGTCTACTGCCTTTCAATGACACCTGTTACAGCCGGCCGCAAGTAGAGCTGCGTCTCCCAAGTGGTTCGATTATGCGAACGTTCATAGACCCCAGCACCGGTATTCTGCTCAAACAGGCCTCTCCAGTGGACTGTAAGGAATTGTCCCCCTTTATCTTTGCTTCTCCCACAGGGTTACGCAGGTTTTCCCCTGTTGACGGTACCTGGTCTTCCGTTTCGTCTCGCGATATTATTCAAATCCCATCCATTTCCCATTTAGCCTCTATTCCGGCGGCCCCTCCTTTGACTATTTTCCACAATCTTATTTTAACTAATTTCAGCGAGGTCACCAGCGATCACCAGCTTCGTGAGTGGTGGACAGCGCGCGACCATCGACGCCTCTTGGATCACTTCACTCACGCGGTAGCTCCGGAGTCAGGAGGAGTGGGCACTGTTGCGTCACAGCAAGTAACGGCTAGTTCTAGTTTTTCTTTTTTCCCTTGGACTTTTTCCGTTTATGATATTTGGGTCAGCATCTGTTGCACTTTCGTTACCTTCTCCTTTTGAAGTCATTGCTACTGGTCTACATACGCCTGCATTCCCCAAAATGGTTGCAATGGGCCCATTGTTCAGCGCCTTCTCCCTCTCTTCCTCCTCTCTGCCGCTCCAGCGTGCAGTGTGCACGGCGATTGCCTGGGATTGTGGCGCGGTCACGCTCGCCACCCACCCTGCATATTTCCCAAATTGAGTTGGACGATGTGGCAGCTTGGTCCCCCTCATCCGCTGAGGCCTCCATAATCCGTCCTCTCTTTCGACTCGCCGCATTCCTACTTCGTGGCTCAGATTCCGGTTCGCGCCAATGGAGTCAACATGCTCGCCCCAGTGGACACAGGTGCTGGAGTCACGGTCGCTAACCAGTCTCTTCTTCCTCTTCTCGGTATTTTTGTCCTCGAGTTTTTTGTCCTTGTTACGTGTCCAATGCCGATGCTCCCGTCCGAGACGCCACGTTCCTCGCCGAAGGCACTCTCTTACCAGAGGACCACGTCATGATCGCTCCAGCCGTGTCTCGGTCGGCATACCCCCAGCTGTTTCTCAGCAATCCAACTGACACCCCAAAGATTATCTACAAGGACCAACGTCTCACCTCTGCACATCCGGTGGTAGAACTTCCCAACGGCTCTATTCTTGACCTGTACCAGTGCTTTTAGCCCGTCCTATACGGCTACTTCCTTCGCCACCATCTTCGGACATTACTACGGAACCTGCTCCGCTGAGTATCGACTTCTCTAACGCTAATGTTTCGCAAGGAGCAACGCCACCAGCTCATTGACCTGCTTTACCGAGTTTCGAGACCGCATTTCAACTTCGTCCTACGATCTCGGTTCATACACCCACACCCGTATTTCTATTCGAACTACAACGGAGACCCCACCATCTCGCTACCGACCTACGCGGATACCGTCGCGATATCAGAAGGAACTGGACGACCACATTAATAAGCTGCTCGCTTCCGGACGGATTGTTGAGAGCGATACCCCATGGCTCCATAATACAGTTCTAGTCAAGAAAAAAGACGGCTCACTACGGGTTTGTCTCGATTTCCGCCCTCTTAATGACATCACTGTGCCGGATCGCTATCCTCTTCCGCGAATTGGTGATCTTTTGGAGCGCGTCGCGGGCAAACAGTATTACACGTCTTTCGATTTGGCCTCGGGGTATATGCAATTGTTGTTATCTCCGGAAAGTCAAGCCAAGTGCGGGTGGGCAACTCATCGAGGGTGTACCAATTTGTTTATCTACCATTTGGTCTACGCAATGCAGGCGCGTATTTCTGTAGAGCGATGTCGCGCATACTCGCAGGGTTGGATGACATATCTAGACGACATCATCGTCTTTGACGATACTTTTGAGAAGCATTTGTCATCGCTTCGCAAGGTGCTCGAACGCTTCCGCATCTTTAACATCAAGGTCTCCGGCAATAAGCTCACCAATATAGCTCAATCTCGTATCACCTTCGTTGGCCACGAGATTTCGGGCACGTCGTATGCACCGGCAGAGCGCAACCTCAAGGCGATCAGGGACATGCCCGCCCCAACCTCCACAAAGGCCGTTTCTTTCGGCCAACTATCTATGGGAACTACACTCGGGTGCTATGCGACCACCAACCGCTTACATTTCTTCTACGCCACCGCAAACCCCATGACAGTCTCGCACGCTGGGTTGTAGAGCTCCAGAGCTTCGACATAACAATAGAATACCACAAGGGCTCATCGAACGTCGTGGCAGACCACCTTAGTCGCACTCCGGACCCTGCCCACTACTTTGTGGACGGTAGTCCCGATTGCGACGACATTGGGAGTTTCCCCGTTGCCTAGTACAGCGCCACACCAAGCCTTCAGCTCCTTCTTCATCGCTTGCGGCCCTGGCCCCCCCCCCCGTTATACGTCCGCCCCTGACGCGCTTCTCGCGCAGAAACAAGACCCGTTTTGCAGCTCGATCCTGCATTTCTTAGATACCGGATCCTTTCCGCCCGGTCTTCCGGCGGAACTTCGAGATTTTTGTGTGCCATGGATTGACAAATGCGTCCTTAAACAGAACGGCTGTTTATATTATACGAACCCACGGTGTCCTCGTCCAACGCCAGGCAATATTCGTCCCGCCCAACCTCCGGGAGCCAATTTGCATTGCCCTGCACGACAGCTCTACTGCAAGGCGGACACTTCGGGTGGAGAAAAACGCTCGCTAAGATTTCCAGGCGGTTTTTCTGGCCTTCGATGTGCGCGGATGCCTTCAGCTTCGTTCGGTCGTGCGACGCATGTCAGCGCAAGCGGCCGCATCCTCTTTCGCGAGAGGCTTTACTTCCGATCCATGCCGGGGCTATCTTTGACAGGGTGTACTTGGATCTCAGTGTCTTTATCATAAAACGGTGCGCGATAACAAATATATTTTATGCCTCATCGACCACTTCAGCAAGTTTGTTATCGCGACCCCCCTTGCCGATTGTACCGCGGTCACGGTAGCCCATGCCATCATGACTCATTGTATATTGGTCTTCGGAGCAATGACCGTCCTCATTTCCGACAACGCCTCTTACCTCAAAGGAGATCTCCTCACAGAAATTGGACGGCTCATGCAAATCGGGAGATATTTCACAACCCCGTACCATCATGAAGGGAACGGTGCCTGCGAACGCATGTTCGCCACATTTCAGGAGATGCTACGTACCTACATAGATGCTAACCAGTCAAATTGGGACCTTTTCCTACCCGCATGCACGCTTGCGTACAATACCACCGTCCACTCTAGCACCAATGAGTCGCCCTTTTATCTTATGTTCGGTCGCGATCCGATCCTTAATATCGATCTGTTGATCAGGCATCGCAAGGAGGGTCATATACCGTCAGACGTTGACAGCAGCATCTGAGTCACTGGTCAAAACACTACACTCCGCTTGGTCGGCGGCTGCCTCCTTCAATCAGGCGCGCAGCGCGGCCATGAAGCGGCAGCACGACCGTTGTCAATTACCGGCTTCCACAATCAAGGTGGGAGACCGCGTTTATCTGCGCGATTTGGCACCCAAACCGGGACTCTCCGCGAAGCTATGTAACCCGTGGATCGGCCAGTTTCGGGTTGTAGAAGTCGACCATCCCCATGTTACCATCGTCAGTATCTCGAGCCCTCAATCAAACCCCAAAAGGGTACATATGAATCAGGTCAAAAAATGTTTCGTTTTATCAGGACCGGTTTTTACCACCCCATGGTTGCCTGACGTCGAAACAGCTGCCTTATCATCCGCTAATGCCACCCCCACCGTGATCGGGGGGTGTTCTCACACAGACCCTGCCGCAGCCGGTTTGACACATCAAATCCAGCCCAAATTACCTGCTCACTCTTATAATACTCGTTTCAGGACGCGACTTCAGTCATGCTAACAACCGAGCCCAACGTCAGGATAACGCCACCTTCGCTCTTACACGCTTTTTTCCTTTTTTTCCTTCTTTCTTTCGACTACAACTCACCTTTCTGATCATACCATCTTTTCATTTTGATACATCCTGGTTACGCAATTCATAGATATACCTTTTGCCTTGACCTCTCGAGTCCCCATTGACGTTTCACCATTGGTCTACTCCTAGTCTCATCGTTGGCTTGGTACATCGCTCTGAGTTCGGCCGTTATCGTCACGTCGGTATTTCCGCGGCCCGGTCTCACAACCACACTGCTGATTGCTAGCGTTGCAGAACTTGGAATTATGGACCCCGGTGACGCTAACGCTCGCACAGTCGCTCGACTTTCGTCGGCGGAATCTCCTTCTTCCGGGAACACCGTAACCGCAGCTGGCCCCACCAGGGAGGGTAACCCTCCGATTGCCATCAGTCAGCAGATAATGGGTAGGTGTCTTCCGCGGACTTCCTCCATCGTCAACGCAGCACCATAGCATTATTGCAGCAAGCGGGAGTCACATCAGCAGTTCTCCCTCCGACGCCTACATCCCGACAGCAGCCATCTTGTCGGTACCGTCCGAGGGTAAGTCACTCCTCGACCCCGTACCCGTCGTTAACTTCCTCGTTCAGGCACTGGTGTTCTCTTTCCAGGAGGCTCACGGAATCTGCGGGCTTGTGCCCAGCTCTCAGACACTTCTCGGACTGGCGCACTCACTCCGGACTTGTTACATTCGCGTACAACGCCACTTTCTGTGGCGCCGGGTAAGCTTCCGTCCGGATGCCTTGCGTAGTGCCTTAGCCGCCCTCACCCCTCCATCTTATAGGGCCACTCGAAGCACCGGATTCAACGGCGACCTCTACGACACCCACACCAACCGTGTCGACTACTGCGTCTGCTCACAGTCGCCCTCAAATTCTCTCTGCATCACGTGAGGCAGATCGACGCTCCTTCCCCCCTTAACCCCGCTCCTTTCATCTCGACGGGTAGGCGCCTTCCCAGAGTCCTCCGTAAAATCTACTGGGACGTATTTTTAAGTATTTCAGATAGCGGTTGCAACGTGCCTCGACTCTTCTCTAGCGGTCCCGCCACCTCTCCTTCACAAGCCACCGCAGCTGCCATCTCGACGGAGGCTTCTGAGGGTAAGCTGCTTTTTGACTTCGAAGTCGCGCCGGATTGGTTCGCACCATCCGCCGTTGCAGGGGACTCAGTCAGGCCTCGGGCTTCTGCCCAGTTATCAGACACTAAACGGGCCTCGGTCTCATCGGCAAACATGGCGGGCTCCAGCGGCCTTTCGAACAGGATCAGGATCTACGGCGATCGGTGAGTTTCCGCTACCCCCAACCGTTGATCCTTTTGCGGTACCTTCATCTCCGCTACTTCTAAAATCTAAGGAGATGCAGCAGCTCTCACTGCAGTCGACACCATCCACTTCCGCTACAACTGCGTCGTCTTCGTCGCTAGGATGGTCGCCGCACGTCCGCCTCCCACCAAAGGCCTTTGCCGAATTTCGAAATCCATCATCTCCTCGTTCGAGGCCATCATCATCACTGGCTGCTCCGGACGATGCTGCCGGTCCCTCGAAGCGGTTGCGAACATCAGCACCACCACCACGGCCGAAGGGAATCCAGCCTCATCCTGCCTATCCACCTCGCTGGAGGGATGCTCCCGCCGACTATGTTAGCCCCCTTGCTCATCTCCATCCTTGGGGCCAATACGTCGCACCACGACGGCACGCGCTTCAGCCGAGAGAGAACGAGGTCACAGCGGCTCTTCCGGTTCACGTCTATCGACACATTCCGCAAAACGGCTACTTCGCCACTCGCTTCGTCCGATCGTTGTTTCCACGTCGCTTCGACGGGGAACCTTGTCCAACCAATCCGGTACCGATAATCGAACTCGTAAGATTCCACGACGTTGTCGCCTTCCGTCAGCATGCGGTTCAGCTCACCATCGCCCTGCTCGACGGGGACTTCCGTGATGATACTCCCGATATCCGACGTATTCCATGGGCTCCCGTTGATGCCTCTCCCGCTTCAACTGTGTTCCCACCATCCTGCGGAGGACGACGTCCTGTACTGTACCAAGTCGTAGCCCGTGGTTATGGCCAAGGCGTCATCTTAGAGGCCAAGGATTTTTTTATCCCCGGACCGGATCTCCGGGAGCTTCACTGCATCCCGTTGGCACAGGACTCTGTCAACATTCTTTCCGGCAGGCGAGGATTCGATGTTTCTCAAGTTTCAGTGAAGGACCTCGTCTACGTCTTCTCATTGCGGCCCACACAAGCAGTAATCCGCAGTCGAGACCGAGAGGAGATTCTGAACCAAGCACGCCTACCTCGTGCATCCCGTTTCGACGTGAACCTACCGTACTTCTTCCGCGTACACGAATACACATGGGTCACCCCATCGCCAGCGGCACGACACCTGTTGGGCATCACCCTAGCGGTTAACCGTCGAGGCGAGTTCGGGCAGGTCAATACCATTCACGTCGCATTCCAAGGATGCCCGGAAGCCGTTCGGATTTCTCCTGCACTCTGTGACTTCGACCTGAACGAGATAGAGAGAGACACCTTGTTATTTGGAGAAGCACGAAGTAATGTATCGTGCGCCATGCGGTTTTGTGTTCCCGCGATCTCCGTCATAGCCGAACGAGTCCTGGTTAATGCCGTCCGATGTTTTATGCCAGCATATCCGGAAGAAGCTATGTTGCCATTGCGGGTCTATCGTCCACTTGAGCGCGACCTGGACTGGATAAGGGATCGCATGGGCGACTTTTCCAACTACTCTCGTGATCCGACCGTAGCTCGTCGTCGTATGAGCAAACTCTTTGCGACTGCGAGCGCCGCGCTGGCAGCACAGGCCGTCCTTCTGGACGATAAACGGACACACGAAGTAGCTGCATTCGTTCCAAGCATCAACGCCCTCCCCGTGCGGCTGCAAATCGAGCTGCGTCGGATGCCATCGGAAGCAGGATGGTCGCGCGGACGCTCGGTCGACGTATGGATCACCAACTCGTCCCTGGTGGCACGAACTACGATCATGGCTACGGAACTCAACTTTACAAATCAGATACTCAGTGTCGAGCTCCATTCAGATCCTCGAACTCACCGAGCCCTTCGACATGCGATTGAGCGTCACGGATCTGTAGACATCACCAATCAGTGTGCCCACGTCGGGGTCAACGTCCGTCTTTGCCGAGCAGTTACGGGAACGGATCCCCTGTTCGAAGTGCTGGCCAGCGAGAACCTGTTCCAGAACATTCCCGTCAGGTCTCCATCAGTCGCCAACGACATCCTAAATGCAGTCTATGGTAGTCCTCGTCGTCGCTCCATGACTGCTGCGGTACCGTCACGGCCACTAACACCGATCTCCGTTCGCCTGGGTTCTTCCACCATCCGTTTCCGGCCAGACCAAGCTCAGGCTGTGCAACTCGGCTGCGAAAATAAGGCCCAATCTTGGCCGTACCAAGCCGCATAATGGAACAGGGAAAACGGTCCGTCGGCGCGGTGATCGCCACGCGCGTCGCAGCACCGGCACAACTCGTCGTCGCAACGGCTACCACCAACGTAGCAGTGGCTCAGTTTGCCGATACGTTACTCCGTCTCACCGAGTATCAGCGTCTTCACATCGTCCGGTTCGTCGCCGATTCAGCACTGCGAGAAGGAGCACCCACCACTCCGGTTGATTTGCACAACCTGCTCCAGGGTCTTCTGACCAATTATTCCTGACGCTTTCACTCCGGCTGAAATCGAAGAACTCACGCGTACACCGCCGGGCGGCGTCTTATTGAAGCCCTCTTGTTCCATCGTGACGCTACCCTGAACCTCTCCGAAGAGGAACGTGAGGAGTTCCGAATTGCCGAGATCGAAAATTCGGAAGCGACAGAGAATGCGGTTCGACTCATGCTACGCGTTCGCTTCCCGGCGATACTATGCATCACGACCTCCTCTCTCATCAAATCAACTCGTCCTGGAGGTCTCTTCCACGAGCTGCTCTCCTGTTGCAAGGTCATCATCGGAGACGAAGCCTCCCAGATTCCGGAACCAGCATTCGCAGCCATGCTATCGCTTTCCGGCGGCACGGCAGATCTACATTGGAGATGCACACCAGCTGGCACCCCACGTGCGCTGCCCCGCATCGTCTCTGGCAGCTCGTCTTGGCGCACGAGGGATCATGGACATCCTTCTCGAAAAAGACGTTCCTCTGGCGCCATTGGTCACCACGTTCAGGATGCACCCCGCTCTGAACGCTCTTCCAAACCACCTCATATACGATGGCAGCCTTGTCAGCGGCACCCACGCTGCTCAGCGGAGCCTCTTGGTGCAGCGTGCTGCTCTGCCCAACCCCCAATTGCCCTTCGTGCTGGTCAACGTGCACGGCACCTCTCGGGTGTCCGCGTCCCAATCTCACTCCAACGAGGACGAGGCCCGATGCTGCATGGACTTGGTGTATGCTCTGCTGGCGAAAAGGAATTTCCGAGGCGAGTCTGGCAATTATCACTTATTACAAGGACCAGCAGCGTCTTCTTCAGCCAGAAGCCCGTCGGTTGGGACTCACGCTGCACACGGTAGACACGGTGCAGGGCCGTGAAATGGACATTGTTGTCATCCTCTCGACACGCTCGGACGTTGATGCATCCTCCGGAGAATTCTTGGATGACAGGCAACGCCTCAATGTCGCCCTCACACGATGCCGTCACGGCCTATTTGTGTTGGGCTACCTCCCGGCTCTGCAGTCACTCCAGAACTGGGGTCGTCTTATTCAATGGGCGCAGGAGCACGACGTTATCGTCAGCGACTCGACCCTTCCCGATTTATTCGCATGAATAATCAGCAGTAAGAGCATTATCTCTTCTTCGATGGTAAGCGTTCCTTTCCTTCCTATTTTTTATCTATCTTTCTTCTGATTCCTTTTTATGTAGAGTCCAGGGATCGTTTTTTTCTTGATAAAAATGAACCTCTATAACTTTATTTTAGATCCTCTTCGCATGCCTGCTTTACTACTTCACGGTTATTTCGTTTCACTCGACCATTTCCATACGTTTTTTTCAGCAATTTTATGTAACTCCTCGGTAAGTAGATTACTTTTACTATTTAGCCGCTTTTCCTCTTCTAGTTTTTTTTTTCCTACGACTCCTTTACAAGTCCGAGGACGGACTTTTTTGTGAAAGGGGGGAGGTGTGTGAGTCGGGCTTAGCCGAGAAACCATTAGATAGAGCCTTTACCGTAGGCCGAGAAATGCTCCGATGACACGAGCTGATTGCAGGAGGCGGAGGCGACGACGACGGCGGAACGGGGATTCGAGCAGCGAGGACGACGGGAGGACGGCGGCGGACTTCGGCGATGGAAGACTGTATTCACTGACTGGCCTTCCCCTCAAGACCTCGGGTCGGAAGAGGCCCGCGCGACTCCACTGGCATCACGCGACATCTGCCATATTCTGCTGTTCTGTCTCGTGTTCTCCAGGATAAATGTATTAGTGCAACTAGCGTTAGCTCTGTATTCTAAGGGGTGAAATACCCAGAACATCACTACTACTAAACTATGTATTGAGCTACACACACACACACACACACACACACACACACACACACACACACACACACACACACACACACACACACACACACACACACACACACACACACACACACACACACACACACACACACACACACACACACACACACACACACACACACACAACACACACACACACACACACACACACACACACAACACACACACACACACACAACACACACACACACAACACAACACACCACGTAGGTTCGTATAATGTATGCGTCAACGAAGTTATGTAGGTTGTGTCACACACACACACACACACACACACACACACACACACACACACACACACACACACACACACACACACACACACACACACACACACACACACACACACACACACACACACACACACACACACACACACACACACACACACACACACACACACACACACACACACACACACACACACACACACACACACCACACACACACACACACACACACACACACACACACACACACACACACACACAACACACACACACACACACAACACACACACACACCACACACCACACACTTAAAAACATATATATCCTACCACCAAACACCGCGCTAGAAATTATATACTTCATATAGTAGGATAAAATGAAATATTCTTCCGCCATTGAGTTTGAAGTGAAGGCTTGTCTTCCGAGGAATATGCAAAAACTCATTGATGACCCACATATCTCCCGTCAATACGGCAGAAATTCGAAGCTCTGATTCATCACCCATTTCAATCGCGC